TTTTAAGGAAAATTATGAATCTCCCAAAATATAAATGTTTGTCTTCAAAGCTGGTTTCAACTCCAAAACAATTTAACATGAATAACTCAACACAAAGAATATTAGTGAGTAAAAATCAGTTAATAAAAAGCAGTTAATTAAGCTCATGTATGTATTCACATAAAAATTACAAATGGCATTTATGTGCTTACATGAATAAACATGGTAGAACAATAAATTAATATATTGTAAAAATTCCTGTAGGGATTAAAGCCATTGAAGTTTAGAGTTAATGTTTCAAAGTCATCTAGTTCAGTGGTCCACAGACTGGGCCATTTGTTATTAGCTGTGAAGTTCAAATGTGTATACCTTAGTCCCATGCTTAAAACTCTTACTCATTATGGCTTTTCAACAGGAGTCTGGTAGGTATATTTTTATGTATTACATAAGTCAGTCTCAATAATCCTTTATCATTATCCTGGAGTTGTCATAATATATTGCATACTGGTCAACTTAGCACAAAAATTTATTACTGTACAGTCAAAAATCAAAGAGCTGAAACTTCTTGGCAATACTCTCCCACCCACCCTCCAAAAGCCCCTCCTATTTCTAGTGATGGCTACCTGTGGGTCTTTAGACCCTAATTATCTGTCACACCCTGAAGGTCCCAGGATGCAAAGGAGCTAAGGAGATGACTCTAAGGCTATGGTGAGTATCGGTGAGTATCACAGTTGTTGGATTAGGTATGTCCACTTTGGGAGTGGAATTTGAGGTCTCATATGCTCAAGCCACACCCAGTGTCACAGACCAGTTCCTGTTGCCTGCTGGATCAAGATGTAACTTCTTCTACACTTTGAATTCCTGAAGCACGGTGTTTCCCTGCGGAAGCTCAGTCTTGTAAGCTAGCCCCAATTAAATGTTTTCCTTATAAGAGTTGCTGTGATCATGGTGTCTCTTCACAGCAATAGAAACCCTAACTAAGACAGGACAGAGCACATCACACATGAAGAAATCAGCACTATTTGTTGTTGTTGTTGTTTTGGTTATCATATCTTACTGTAATTGTAACAGTAATTTTTTTCCCCTTTGGACATATTCACTTTAACAGTGTTGATGCTAAGAAATTTTACTGAGTTTTTGAAAATACTTTTTTTGAAACGCTGAAAACATGTTTAAATAATAAACGTGTTTTCTTCAGTTAGAGTTTAAGAAGTATGCTACATCTTTGTAAGCTCATGCATATATCATAATGTTGTTTTCAAAACATCAGCCTGCATTTCTAGCCTGTCTCTTTCTAAAGGAGAGTTTATCATGTTGCTAAGTAATTTGAAACCAGTGGTTATTGCATCTAATTGGAAGTACAAGAAAGTGCAAATCCAAATCAAATACATGTCAAATTAATACATTCTAACAGCCTAGTGGACAAAGAAGGATAAATGTTTTGGGGTGGTAAATACTATAATTCAGTATCATAGGATATTCATCGTTTTTAAACACAAAACTGCTGTGTAACAAAAAAGAAGGGGTATAATAGTTAAAAGAGGACAGTGTCAACACAATTTGATTCAAAGGTGAGCTACATGCTGGAATTTTCAGTCAGGGGCTTTAAAACAGCTTTGCAAAATATGTGGCATATTCCAGAGAAAAGGTCAGCAACCTAAGGGAACAGCAAGAAAGAGACAGAAAATAAGTAAATGGGATTGCCAAAAATAAAAACAATTACAGAAATCTTAAAGGACTTGATAAGCTCAGGTGATCTCATAAGAACTTATCAAATCTGAAACCTATGAAACTAGACACAGGTTCTCAACAAAATATCAGGAAATCAAATTAAGCAATGCATGAAAAAAGATGATAAATGATCAGAGTTTATCTCAGGATGCTATATTTATCCAGGATAATAGTGGTGTGTGTGGAGGGGGGATGTTACCAATTTAACTCCCAGGATTAAGAATAAAATAAAAAATAACCCTGTAACGAGTACAGATTTTTCTGCCCGCCGCCTGGTCTTGTCCTGCCGCCATGCCGCCAGCCCCAAATAATGCACAGAGACTCTGTATTAGATATTATACTGTTGGCCAGTTACTACTTTCTTATCGGCTAGCTCTGTCTTAAGTATTAACCCATTTGTGTTAATCTATGTATTTCCACGTGGTCTTTTTACCCGGAGCCGGCTGCCACATATTGCTCTCTCCAGACTCTCCATCTTTACTCCTCCTTACTACTTCCTATTTCCTCCTTGTCTCCTAGTCCCTCCTATCTTCCTTTCCTATTGGCCAATAGTACTTTATTATTAACCAGTATGATAAACATATATACATAATGGCATCTCCCATCATAACCCCAGTAGAAATGTAATAAGCATTTGATATAATCCAGTATACTTTCACATAAGACTTTTCAGATAATGTAAAAGAGAATCCTTTCAATGTAAATTAAGACATCTCTAACAGACTTACAGACGCTACTATGTTTATTAACTAAATACTCCTCATTTTTCTCTTGGGTTGAAAATAATGCAAAAAATAAACTGTGTCTACAAGCATATGAAGCAATGCTGGCTGCATGTTGAAAGTTAGATTCTTAAAAGTCACAGAAAAAAATTCTTTTTCCAGTGGATTTCTCATTCTCTTATTTTGTTCCCTGTCCCCTATGATGTGAGAAAACGAACAAACAAACAAACAAAAAACAAAACAACAACAACAACAAAAACTCTATAGTGATTGTCCCAAAATTTAGTGCCATTCAAGGTCTCAGGACTTCATTTCATTAAGTCAGAAGTCGTGATGTGTTGGGCATATGGGACATGATGGAGCATTATTGATAATTGTCTTTAAATAAAATACAGACAAAAGTGGAGGGAAAACAGGAACCAGTTACGCACAATAGAGGCTGATGAAACCACAGAGATAATCAGTGCTGGTTACTAAAACAACATGAATATGGGACTATCACCTAGCCTGGACACAGACATCAGAAGCAGCCAAGAAGTCTTCCAGGATAGGATGAGCAGCAGTTGTCAGATGTGTCTGCCAGTATTTTCCTAGCTTAAGGGCTCAAGTCATAGGTACCAAATCTAATTCAGTCATTGTATTCCCAGGAAGCCTAGGTGCATTTAGGCTTTTATACTGGCAGTAACCCCAAGACAACACAAAGGGAAGTATATCCACTCATTTCCACTCTGAGCAATGGAGTAGGCATCTAGCCTAAGCCGGTGGGAATTTTTGGGATGTTCTTCCATCTGGGTATTTTGCGGGTGTGCTTGTCCACATCAGTTCTTCCTGACTTGTCCTATTGCCAGACTGTATAGAACCAACTTATTTACACAGGGTTTTGGTTATTGCCAGTTCATGTATACAGAAGACCAGACAGGAATCAGAGTGTGATTCCTTCCTTGGCTTCCACAGTAAAAGAAAGAAGTGTTCCGCAAGGAATAAGTACGGGGTGAAGCTTAGAAGGCAAGCGTGCCAGCTTCTATAGAGACTGTATTTAAATGGGGATGGCAAGTCAAGGGGAAAGGCTAAAATTGGGAGTGGGGTGTGAAGGGGCTTCCCTTTTAGGCCCTAGATATCACTCAAGGGAGTCTACGCTTTTATTTTCCTTAGAGCATCTGAGAGCTATTGAAGTGTTAAGCAGGGAATTGTGTCACTGTATGCTTCCATTTCATTGTAAGAAATATTACTAAAGTGACAGTGTCAAAAGTGAACTAAAGGGGCCAGATAGGAGTCGTGGAAACCATTTAGGAAATTGTTACCTTAGTGGTCTACAAAATAATGATGATATAGTTCAAGGTGTGGTACTGGGTGGAAAAGAGTGGACAGACTCACGATGAACAGATTGCACTTAGTGGTTAATTGAACATGAGACATGACACAGTGTAATTATGCCCTTTTCCCCTTCATCATTCATCAGAGGGCATTTTTGTAACAATATGTGATCCCCTCTAGTATTTTACACTTCTTCATGAACGTGTGCATTTTTCAATTACGTTGTTAAAAGCCTGAAAATGTTCATCCATTTATACTGGGGTTTTTTATTGTCAGTTCCTAAGATAGTAAAAATAAAGTGTATCTCTGAGCAGCTATCACAGCAGTTTCTTGAACAAATTCTCAACATGATATTCAAGCATAGATAGGTTAATGCAAGAAGTACTTTCATCTACTGGAAGGAAGTTTCACAGGGTTCCCTCAGTGGAGCTATGATTAAAAGAAATACAAGGCTAGACATATTTAAGATTATGTTCATGTTGGCTCTGAACAGGCCAGTATTATTTTCTTAGATAAATATCTATTGTTGAAATTAAATGCATACTCCTTTCTTTAATAATTATATCATACGAAATAGTTTAATTTTTATGAGTCTGAAATCTTTTCATGCACTTAAGTCATTATTGTAAATATCAATGATAAATTGCCCTTCAGCTCACTTTATATTCAGTAATGACTTGATCCATTAAGCGAACCAAAGGAAGAGCAAGATTAAGTTTCCTTAAGAAATGAATAATGGAGTATACAAAACAGCTTAGCTTCTGGGGGCTTTTTAGATTTCACTGGCAGTCACAGTGTTTGATAGAGATAGTGCATATACTGAGCAGTGTGTGTGTGTGTGTGTGTGTGTGTGTGTGTGTGTGTGTGTGTGTGACTTTCACTTAGGTCTAGAGGGAAGAGTAATGCAAAGACCCATGAATAGATATGCCTGCAGTGTTCCAGGGATAACTCAGAGGAAAGTAAGGCTAGAAATGAAGAAGAAGAGGCCAAAGAGATAATGCCTAAGAAGTAACCCCTTGTAGTGGTTTTAAAACTTTGCCTTATGGGGGAGATCTAGCTAGATCCGTTCTTCTGTGCAGACCTCTTTAGCCGAATTTTGTTGAAGTGACTCTAGTGCGCAGGTTGTTCTGAACCTTTTATTTTCTGCCCCCGGAGTGTTTACTTCTAGAACACAGTTTCTAATGTAGAGGGAAGAACAGGACAGATGGAGGCGTTAACCTCACAGCTTCTGACCACCTGCATCAATTTTTACAGCTGGTCAATGGCAGCCTCACTCACTCCCACACCACCAGACTCCAAATATGTCCCAGTTCCTCTGAGCGGACCACCTGCTGGCAAAATCGAAACCAGAGCCATGCAGTCTGATAAGGCGATTCTTGTCCTCTTCCTAAAGGAAGTTTGAGGCAATTAGTTGTTACACAGCAATAGAAAATATCAAAACAAAAGACTCTTCATTAAGCAAATACCTTTAGGTGACTGAGCCTTTCTTTTTGTGAAAGAAAACTGACAAGCTTGAGCTACAGATAGTTTTGCTTTCAATTGGGCAAAAGAAACTGTAAAGTGTGGCAAAAAGTGTAAGCTTGAGTCACAAGCTTACAATGACATGGTCCAAGCTGATTGTCTAAGTGTTTTAAGGAAGACTGTGTACAGTCTTAAGGACTTCTTGAAGATGTTAAGGCTCGTGAAGTTCCTGTCAGTATACAGATACATTTTCTCAGGAATGATTCTCACTGACAGACATCCTCTTAGCCCAGACCATGTTTCAAGCTTTGGTTAGTCTTTTATGAACACATTCAAAGGAAGCTTGTTGTTCATCCAGGCATTAATCTATGCATTTTGCTTGGTTCTGTGCAATGCAGTGCACCCGGCCACTGGAGACTCCTTCCACAGCTCTCTGTAAACTTCCACAAGTACTCCTGCTTCATTCTTTGTCAAGATGGATGACAATGAGAGACACAATGGACTGGGTGCTATCTGGAGCCCACTTAAATGATTTCCCCCAGTATCTATCACCTAGAGGGGGATTTCCTTACATGGATTCTCTTCTTATAACACTGCTGGGCAAATGCTGTTTCAGCAGGTCATTTTGTTCAATAGAAAAGAAATACATAATTGCAGCTTCGGGAAACTCTGCACACTTGGTAGGGGAGCATGCACTTTTTATATTCTTGTAAAAATGTGCTATACTGATAAAATAATGTGCTGTATATGAGATCTTTGTCCAAAAATTGAGAAAAAGTATGTATAAGGGCAAGTCTTATGAGATTAAAAATGATATTAGAATGAACACATAAGTAATTTACAATGACAGAGGAAGGAAGGGTGGTTTGATTTGAGGAATGAGAATGTTTAGAAAAATGGTGCTAATCAAATTATGGCCTGTCCTCAGAGATAAATAGCTAAGCCCTTTGAGGCCAACTGCTTGCAAGCTGTCCTCTGACATGGAAGGGCAAACATGAGGTTTGAGACATTGTCATGTCATTCCAGAGCTCAGTTTACCCCGCTCACCATGATTACCAAATCATTTCCATAAGTATTCACAAAACTTTTAAAGCTCAACTTTCCAACAAAGAGAACTACTAGCCTACTGAGTAGTTGGTTAAGTTTTCTAGGTAAGATCCCAGAACTCAACCCCTAGTGCGCCCATCACATTTAGCATTTGTAAACATTAATCATAGACAACAGGAAAATAATCATTTGCTCTGACTTTGCATCTAAAAAGTAACTAAGTTAGAATTCCTATTCTAATACCACATGTTAAAAGAATAGTTGATGTCCTTTTTAGCATAGCTGATGGACTGTAGGCAATCAGAACTTATTCCTTCATCAGAAATAACATTCCTTAATCGACAAATCTTCATTAGTAGCAGATGGTAGGTGAGCGAGAATTTGGGGGAATAGCCTCATCCAGCAACCCCACCTTCTCCCCCACATCAGCCCACCCCGAAAACTAGCTAAGCAGGGGCCTGAGAGCAATCCAGCAAGCAGGGGTCCACCATGGTTTATACTGTTCTTATACTTTGTGAGTGAGATCCTGGCCAGAAGTAATGGCGTATGGAATAGCAAACAGTCCTGCTTATAGGGTCCTGTTGTGATTTTCCTTTAGAAGGTAAGATGAAGTAAATGCTTTCCTTTCCTAAGTGGCTTTCTATCATAGTTTTTTATTAACAGCAACAGATGAAACCATTAACAACCTCTTACTTGTCTTCCTGTCCATTTCCCACTCTTCTACAGTATAGATGCCATGTATTAAGCTTTTAATTAACTACTGCTCTATCTCAACAGCTCAGAAGATCAGAGGTGGTCCTTCTTGACTGAACTTTTCCATGCCCCCATTGCATATCATTGGCCTTAACAGTACCTCATTACTTTCTATATTTGTGATATTTTCTGTTTGAAACAGTGTTTCTATTACCTTTCATCCTTTAAATATAACACATTTTATTCTGGTTAGCCCAAGTACACCTCCAGCCCTGATATCCCTATAACTGGATATGGTCATTTATCATCTCAGAAAAATACAAAATCCTTTTCTAAACTCCTATTCATTAGTAACAACTCTCAGAGGTTTATGTACCTGTTCATTTTATGTATTTCATTGTATTATACATATATTTACAACATTTGTATTCATTGTGAAAGTGTATCACAATAGATAATAATCACATATAACAATTTCTGAATAATCTGATATTTGAATAGTATATGGTTACTACCACTTGGCTTCACAATTCATAAGGCCCTTTAGTGTGTCACATGAGTGTGTTTCATGGTTACTCAGCCCAATTGGTGTAATAGAGGATGGACTACAGCCACAAAGGAAGGGCATTGTTGTGTCACATGAGTGTGTTTCATGGTTACTCAACCCAATTGGTGTAATAGAGGATGGACTACAGCCACAAAGGAAGGGCATTGGGTTGCACTGTAAGTTTATTGCTTGGGACTGCTCTGCTATTTTCATGATATCTCTCCTAAGGGGAACGGATTTAAACTCTTTTAAAAAAATAAAATAAAATAAACATGCATTGTATCTTATATGGATTTATTTTGAGATTAACAACTTTTATGTAAAAATGTATGATTAGTCTCAGGCAAAATGATGCAGCTTGTGGTGAGCTGTGATGATACTGTGTCATGTTTGTCTAGTATTTTATGCTTTCTCTATAGCCTCATCCTTCTAGAGTGTATGATGCCTTCTGGCACTTGAAAAGCCTACTTTGAAAATCATCATATGTCAGCATCTTTCCTAGAAATGCTTATTCTTCACACCATCAGTACCAGTTGTGTTGCCTCATCTCTAGAGTAAATCAATTTAGACAAAGGTGATTAATGACATACTGATATGTTTTCAATCACAGCTACATTTAGAAGATTGTTTTTAATTTCACATATGACTACTGTACTCACATCATTTCCTCTCCTTCTTCCAACTCCTTCCATGACCCTATTTTCCCTGTTTCTTATCAAATTCATGGGCTTCTTTTACAGCTACCATTATTATATATTATGCATATTGTAACACATTTATAATATTACACTGTTTACATACATACACATGCAGTTAGAGATTATACTGCTCCTAGCAACATGTTGGTGGTGGGTTCTCCTCTATGGTCCAAAGCCTGAGCAACTACAGGTAGTTGGATATGTTTACAGCATAAGGCATGAATTCTTCCATGATGAGCAGAAACTTATTGTAATGACACAAAAGCAAATTATACCAAAGATATAATATGTTCTAATATTGAGACTTTGGAAATGCTTTTACATGGCAGTCATTGCTAAGGTTTGCAAGTGAAAGATAGAACTCATGAAGGAGACTGCTAGGTCATATCCAACTAGATTTCTTCAAGGTCCATGTCTGAAGTGTACAGTGTCTTCAGCAATAGGGGCTTACCTTTGACTTCTGGGAGGCAAGTAAAGGCAATGGCAATAGCATATATTGATTTGGGGGCGTTTCTTGGATTCCCTGAACAAGAATAGGGGGAGGAGTTTTCACACATTTTGTCCTTGCTTTCTTTGTTTAATCATCTCTACCTTTGCGGGGAAGCATTATCACTTCAAGTGACACAACTTCACTTAAACCACACAAATGCGTATACCCATGTACCTAAATATATTGTATGTAAAATAAATAAATATAATGAGTTCCCATGGCTTTTCAAACATAGTTAATGTTAGTTATCCCTCCTTCCTCTCAGTTTTTCCATTCCCTTCCATAGTATCCGTGTTCTTCTGTTTCCCTCTTTCCAGTTACTTCTCTGTACAACCAACACAACCCCGTTTTACTTTCCTAGTTTTTGAGGTTATCAAAGATTATATACTCACATCTGAAGATTCTAAGGAAGTAAGACAAATAAGACAACATGTGGCATTTGCCCTTCTGGCCTTGGGTTATCCTACTCAGTATATTTTCTAGCTGCTTCCATTTGCCTGAAAATTTCATTTTTCTTTGCAGCTGAATAGAATTGCAGTGCCACTGGAATGTATGTAACTCATTTTCCTTATCTATCTATCTATCTATCTATCTATCTATCTATCTATCTATCTCTATCTATCTATCGTTTGATGGCATTTAAGTTATTTTATTTCCCAGCTATAATAACAGATTCCTGTGGAGACACATGGTTTTCAACTACATCTCTCTATTGGTAGCAATGCAATTGCTTTGGGTTTTGTGTGGGTGTGAGTGCTTAGGGGGCAATAGAGAAACTCTGACCATAAGTAGCATCCTATTTCCTTTGGCATTCAGTTTCTGGGTAGGCACCAGTACATGGCAAAACCAGAAGCAAGGGCATGGGCTTCCATAGTGCTGGCCCAGCCTTGGAGAGTTATTACATTTTGAGGTTCTAACCAGCTGCTTCTGCATTCTGCATTCTGATAAGATCCTTAATATTCCCTGATTCACAGAAACCATAAAACTGACTGAAAATCCATATAATTTTATAATGGAAATAGGATACAAATTAGAACCAGCAACAGGAGAAATATAAAAGAGCACTCGGTCCAATGTAATGACTCTATTGTACCCAGAGACATCCTCACATTTCTTGTCAATGTGATGTCCTTAGGCTTCTCATGAAGTTATATCTACATAAGACCCCCTCCACTAAATGAGAATGTTCTGAGACAAAAATATGGACTCAGCCAATATTCAAATACCATAGGCTGTCCAGGTGGTCCGTGTGCTTACAATACTTATATTATCCTATTCCAGAGCAAAAGCCATCTAACACAAAACCTTTGTATAATGAAGTACCAAATATCATGTGTAACTTACCTAATGCACTATTTAAAAATGAACACAGAAGATATATGGTTTTGTGGTTATACATTCATACCACTGTAAATTGAAATGTGATAATCTGATTCTGTAATTGGAGACTCTGTATTGACAATCAG